TAGAAATTTAAAAACTTGTACGATAAATTTAGGAAAGAAGCGGGACAAAGCATAAGCTTGATTCCCGCAGAGGTGGGGGTTTAGGGAAACTTTTTTTTTATTATTATATATTACATACCTAGGCAGTCTGCCGCTACCAGTTTTTAGTTACACATTGGGAAACTCTACGTTGCTCTTCCTTCCATTACTCACAATGGGTCACCACGTTGAAGTCTGTCAGCCTGAGCTGGAAAACTTTAATAGGGCAGTGAGATTCATCGGCTACAAGACCATCAAAGGCTTCGTTCCTGCAGAGCTGGAGTTACTAATACTTGAGAATTGCTTTTTTCATTAAGGCCCATTTGAGGGGCTTTCACGGGGGTGGGTAGGTGGGTGAGGGGGTAAGGCTCCTTTCGTCAGGAAGATCCTCTCTTGGGAGGGGAGTGGGGAGGAGAGGTTCGCCTCGGTAAGAATTCGGCAATTCCTTTTTGTCTTAAATAGTGAATACTTTTTTTTTTTCCCCATTGAATTTCGGTGGGGCAACATTTCACCAACGTCAAGGTGACTTGTACCACCATAAAGGAATATTCATTTTGTTCAAGTATTACTTGAAGTAGCTTATGGTGTACTTTCTGGTTCATCCTCGCCCATTATTTGCCAAATAACTGTTATTGGTACTGTCAAGACAGGTAGTTTTGCTGATCTTTGCTCAGTTGTGTGTGCCATTGAGTAGGTCGAGTAGGGAAGTCTCCAGGAAAACCCGACTGCTGATTGTTTAAGATCTAATTAAATTTTATTTGTTTAAATTTTTTCTTCCCATTTTTATCCTTGTCGATCGAAGTACGGCCTCAGCCAATTTCCTGTGTATTATCGTATATGACTTGGCAAGAGCTCTTAGCGACCTAATAGGTCAAAATCCTGTAACTCAGAGATAGACATCCATCCTGGGTGCACGGCTTCCTAGAGGATAATTCTTTTCTTGATTGATAAACAAATGTGTGTAATGCCTAGGTACCCAACGAGATCTCAGTGGTCACCTCGACCTCTTAATATCCAGGTACTCTTGTCGAGTGATTGCTCTGACACAGTACGTTTCGGTTTATCTTATAGTTCAGAATATATAGCAGCAGCAGCTAGTCTCAGCATGCACAGTACATCGTTGTTATATAGATGCCCAGACTATTTAAAGGTTCCTGATAATGAATAGACAGATACAATAAATGTGTGGGATATCTTCCATTGCCTCCTCTAGCTTGTAGACTACCTTATTTTCACCATCCTGAAATTAGAATGGTTCCATCTTTTTGCTAAAAAAAAAAGTTAATTGGAAGATGGGTTGCGTCTTCACATTCCTGTGGCTCATCTCTATATCAGACATGCATATATATTTTTTGTCCCTCGCATGTCTGTCCTTGTTTACTACTTGATGTTAGCCATCTCTGGCACTGTCACTGTTAAAGTTGTTCCTTAGGTATTTCTATGTAACTCGTGCTACACAGATATGAAACGAGTCTAGCTCCAAACTTTAGTTTGTGTGCATAATTAGTTGCGGCTATAAACTGGAGCTGCACACTCGAAGATTATCCTTAAGTGTATGATGTAAAGCGTTGTGAATTTAGTTTGGTGGCTTTAAATAAAAGCTATTCGACTGCGAGAAAATATAGGCTCTTGAAACCGGTCACAAGTATAAGCCCCTCATTGTGTGCATAAGTCTGTGAGGTGGCCAACACGAACCTCAAGAATGTTTTGGGGATAGAAGGCACGTCGGTGTGATTCAAATTTAGTAGGGTAAAGTATGGCTCCCACCACCCTTGTGTGTCTTCATTAATTCCACCTGTCATCATGCCACCCCATTTTGTACTCGCCATATCCATGTGTACACCCCATCATTTTGTACTCGTTTGTGTACACCCCATCATTTTGTACTCGTCTGTGTACATTCCATTCTGTGCACACCATATCCACTATGTGTACACTCCATGTGCTCACCACCACAGTATAAATCACCTCGCCCCCTCTCTCCTCTACATATCCTGTCATTATACAAGTAAGAACGTGTGTAAATTACGAAGCTTGGATAACATGATCTAAGGAGATAAATCCTCTTTCCCCTCCCATTATTCTTGCCCCATGTGTTACTAACACCCAGCATGAAAGAAGAGTGCATTGTTAACACGTAAGTATCAGTTAACATGCATGTAACATTGTTAACATGCATGCAATAGGCATTGTTAACACGCAGATAAAACTCATTGCTAACAAGCATTGTTAACACACACGTAACACGCATTAACACAAATAACTAGCAGTGTGTGCTTGTGTTTCGGGTTTTATGGAGGAGGGTGTATTAGGAATGGGTGCTCACTACCAGTTCGCTCTCGCATGATTGCTCTATAGGCGCCAGATACTCGAGACATTAATTTATTAATTGTTGCATTTCCCTTAGAGTTTGGGGATCCCGATGCTGCTGAATGGCTCTTCATCAAAGGTATTGGATCAATTCCCACCTCTCCCTAGTCTGGTTGGAACATGATTTCTCACCCCTCCCATCTTCAGTCGCTTGACCCTTATGGATTTAATACTTCCCCATGATTATAATAGTAATGTTAGTGCATTAGTTGGGCAAAATCGTCTAGCGTCCCGTAATGAGTGCGCGATAACTGGTGTCTTCTGGTTGGTTTGGTAATGTTTGTCAAACAGCATAAGTGTTTCTTGACGCGGGTCTTAATCATATGACGAGTCACAGCTGGAGCTTTTAGTCGTCTGACCGAGGACTTCCGCTGGCTTACCGGTCTACCGCTTTAAAATTCATGGTTATAATAATAACCATTAAGAATTATATGGTGGTGTCTTCTGCTGTGGATGGTGGTATTTTATTAGTCAGAAAACAGCACTCTCCTGACACGGATCTTAACCAGATGATGACCCGTTCAGTGGTCAAACATCTGCTGGATTACCGAAGCTAGGTTTTACACCCTTTTTAAACAGGAGAAATACACAACACAGATAATTCCTATTTAATACTGTTATTCAAACTACTCTCTAAAACTGTTCCTGTATAAAAGTAACTAACAGTGGGATTCTGTTAAAACCCTGACAGATGCTTCATGTGATACATTCCACCAACCTTGCTATTTATCTGAATTAGGACACAAGCCTGTAATATTAAAGTCCGGAACTACCACAACAAATAATCTTTAATATTTATCCTGTCTACAATCCTGCACATTGTTTCATGCGTGTCAAAGGTTCGATTCCAATCCAGCAACACTGCTGCCATCGTGATACAAAGTTACCTTCTGCCCACAGTTATTAGTGTCTTTTGAAGATGGATAGATTTACGAAAGTTCGGAAACATTAATCTTGCATGTGATGGGTTTTTGATCTTATAATAAAAGTTAAGCGTAATACTTAAGGAGCAGGTGGTACTGATAGTTATGATTCAGCAAACTGTCTAAAATAAAGAAGCTAGATTTAACTTTAAACATAATAAAATGGTAAAGTATCTTGTCTTCTTAACATTAAGACTTAAAACAAGGTTTAGGCAAGTCTGTTCATTACGTAATAAGAGTATGCGCACTCTGACTCATTACACAACTGATGTGGATTAGGGATCTTTACCTAGAATAAAAGTTCTTTATGCATCCAGTAGGTCTTCAGTGTGTGACATTCAGGCTCGAGCCAAAGGAGTTTAAAGTAAAACAAGTTAGTAATACTCGTGAAGGTTGGACCACCTCACCTTATTACTTTGTTACAAAAGATTTGTTTATGAAGCTACAATATACCTATTTGTTGCCAGGTCGGCCATGTTGGTTACACCCGATAATACACCTTAGAATTGCGAAGTTTTTACATTTTTTTGATAATTTACAACTTGGTTTTCAACACACACAATACGGTCTCTTGTAGAGTTATTGCTTGTCATAATAGGTCACATCATGAGTCAGTTAAAGTATTACTGAGTTCCTCAAATGATAAAAAATAATGATTCTTGCCAAAGGTTATCGTAGAGAAAATCTTGAAAACATAAATGTATTCAGCACGTATCAGGTAAGACCTGTACATTTTAAACATTACTGACCTGCCATACAGGTACAGCGTGATGCTAATATATACCCATCTTTGTGTGCAACTCTCCAATGGCTGTAGTGGCTATTCACATAATCTCTCTTAACGTACTGGGTTCGTCACATTGCATTTGAACAAGTCTAATTGTCCAAATCAGTATGAAATGTATTAAACCTCTATTATTTTTTTAATTTACAATGAAGATTTTTTTTTTGTACATGAAATAAGTCATAAAATACTTTGTAACTGAAGTTGCCTAAACATATACACGTGATAACTTTTATAACTATTTTATTAAGGTATTAACATTTGCTGTTAAATACAACATAAAAAAAAAACTTATGACCAGGAATTTATCATTGACGATCTTACTTTTTGTTTTCAAATCCACCTACAAATTGGTTGTACTCTTAAAGAAATCTCGATGTGTATGAACTATTTTATACCAAGTAGTTGACAATATCTGTATGTTAGTGGGAGAATGTCTGTCATCTGATAAAATAGCTTCATACATTTCATATGGACCTTCACCACTAATCATTTGACCTGACTTCGTACCTTTTTCATTCATTTGGTTGAAGACCAGCTTTACGTTTACAAGCAGAAGCTTTTCAGTTCTTCCATAATTACAATAAAAAAAGAAGTGTATATGCGGCTTTAACAAATCGTATGTAGCCAATGTGGCCGATCATCCGGGTAAAAAGTAAATTAGTGACCTCAGTGAAACGTCTTATATTGAGCTCCAGATAAAATGATCTATGCAGATCAGCAAACTTAATTTGTTGGTGATTATTTCAGATATCTACCACATGCATAGTTCTGAAAGGGTAAATGTGTAGCAGTGATACAGAACATTGTATAACTGGATTCTTGGCAGTTTGGATTCTTTCACCTGAATATTTACAAATATTGTTTTGCAACGAGCATGTGTTGAAGTTTACAATGTGTTACAGGTGTTGTATGCGTGCAAAGAGATGAGCAGCAGTATGGGTGAGGCCATGGCCGCCGCCAGGGACCGTGCCACCCGATACTCGAGTGTGCAACAGGACACCACCCTGGGCCTCCCCTACCAGGTCCCGCGGCCCGACGGCGAGGAGAGACACCATACCAGAAAACATCTCACCGGCTCAGAACAGGTGGGTTTCCACCTTAAATCGCTATCTAGCTATTACAACATTTTAGAGGCAGAAATCAGTATCGTATTAAGAGAAAATCGCAGTTCAAAAGGTATTTACATGGGAACTCTTTATTTGGCAATGCATGGCTACTTGAAGCCTATCAATACAAACTAGCAGGCCACAATAATTTTTCATTTTTTTTACACTCTGCTTGTAATTCTCTTGCTATTCCATTACTCTAACTGTGCTTGCAGACTTCGCCGCTTCTTTATTGGCTATCCAACTCTACCTTCCTAGGAAAACATAGATCATTTCTTAATGGAGAGGAAACCTAGCGCCAGTATGCCAGCTGCTGCTTGACAACTGACCGGGTTAACATACGACTTAAAACCTGCGTCGGGGGATATTTTTCCTGATAAAGAGAGTCAAGGCAAAAACTATTGATATTGGGCTCTTGCTAAAGGGAGATGGAGCTTTAACTGACGACAGGGAAACGAGTGACTACTGATCAGTGAGCCTTAATTAAAGAGGCTGAAGATTGACAACCCTCACCCTACTTGACTTTGAAGAAGCCATTGATAGCATGCACATGCATTTGTCCCAGGCCCACACTCACGGCACTGAATTTTATGAAACTATGAACAAAAATTAACTGGCTTTAAATATACTAAGGAGATATTTAGAATTTGTCCTCGTATATCAGCCACTGTTAGCAAGTGGCTGAGGAATTCACAGATCTAATAAAGAAGATAGATAGTTGTCTTGAAAGGCTGGAAAATTCAACACCAAATATCATCCTTGGAGATTTCAATTTCTCAAATGTAAGATAATTCATCACATTACACCAGAAATAGTTCCTGGAAGCACTCAGGCTCAACAGGTACATACCAGGGAACTAGAGGCTTTGTGAAGCGTTTGCATTGAACGAACATATAACAGCCTCCTGAAAATGAAAAGGGCACTAGATTTGATATTAACAAGGAACTGATCAAGAAACAATCACTAAATATACTGTGATCACAACATCATAAAAGTACTAAAGAGTATAAGCTCGGGAACTCGAGCAATGTATGAGAAGGGATATTAGTAAATTTTTAACTTCAGCCATAAGATTGGGTGGGATAAAATTAACAAAGAACTGTCAGACATATGGGAAACAGTCATGAACACCTTAAATCCTTACCAGTGCCTGGAAAGGCGGAACACAGAAGTATACAAAGTCTGTATTAAATATGTACAATTGAGGAGACCTAGATCAGATATGAAAGTGTAAGAGTTACCAAAGAAGGAAGTGTTACCGAATTGCTTAAAAATGTGAACATGACAATAATGGAAAGATACTCTTAGAAGAGACATCACCGATTGAGAGGACAAACTTAAGTTGTACCAAACAAAAGCGCAAAGGAAACAAAAGGCCATCTAGGATATTACAAGAAACTCCAAATATTTCTATTCATATGCATAATCCCAGCTAAGAACTGCCAACTGAATTGGACCCATAATAAGAGAAGGTTCATGTACTGACACTGGAAATGAGCGAAATTCTAAAAGACCAATACGAGTCTTTTCAACAACCCACATAATGAAAGCAGTGTGGAGAATGTAGATTTTTTTTCATTCCATCAGCCTGGCAAACCAATGAACTAACCAACAAACTAACATTAGTTTGCCTTATTGTACTTGTGTGCAGTGAAAGTTCTTTGTACACTCTCCAGGTCAGCAATTTCACCTGCCTTGAAGGGGGTAGTTAGTGTACAGTATTCCAGCCTAGAGAGAACAAGCGACTTGAAGAATCATCATGGGCTTGGCATCCCTAGTTCTGAAGGTTCTCATTATTTATCCTATCATTTTCCTTGCAGATGTGGTAGATACATTGTTGTGGTCTTTGAAGGCGAGATCATAGGGTAATTACATACAGAATGAGGGTCATAGGCGTAACTGAGAAGGTAGGCAGATGGCTTTTTCAGATTTCTGACACGCACACACACAACGCAAAGAATGGTATTAAACAGTAAAATTCAGCATCGGAGAGATAAAAAGCTCAGTTCTCTATGGCACTATCCTGGCACCACTGTTGTTTATCCTCATAGCAGACATGGATAAGAACACCCATCTCAGATCTGTCATTATTTGCAGATAACACTAAAATAAACATGGAAGTCGCCTCAATAGGCGAAACTAAAAAAGTGCAAGAATATATAAGGAGGGTTTTTCAGTGGGCAATGGAGAACATGACATTGAATGGTGATGAGTTCCAGCTGCTTAGGTATGGAAAGAATGAAGAACTAAAAAGGGACACTGTATACAAAACTTATGAGGCTCATCAAGCAGAATGAAAGGAACACATGGAAATCCTGGGAGTAATTATGTTAAGATGTCTTTCTTTTGAGGAATACAGTAAGACAATGTCATGACAGCCGGGAAGATGGGATGGATAATGAGAACTTTCAAAACCAGGGAAACAGTGCCACTGGTGACACTTTTCAAATAATTTGGAGTGATAATGTCAGAGGATCTCGCTTTCAAAGACCACAACAGTATCCACCACATCTGCTAGGAAAATGATAGGATAGATAATGAGAACCTTCAAAACTAGGGATGCCAAGCCCATGATGATTCTCTTTAAATCGCTTGTTTTCTATAGGCTGGAATACTGCTATACACTAACTACCCCCTTCAAGGCAGGCAAAATTGCTGACCTGGAGAGTGTAAAAAGGAGCTTTCACTGCACACACAGGTACAATAAGGCACCTAAATTACTGGGAACAGTTGAAGTCCCTTGATTTGTATTCCCTGGAATGCAGGCGAGAGAGATGCATGATAATAAACACTTGGAAAATCACTTGGAAAATCACAAATCACTCCCTATGAAAGCAAAAGACTTGGCAGGAGATGCAACATACCCCCAATTAAAAGCAGGGGCACCACGAGTACAGTGCGAGACAACACAGTAAGTGTCAGGGGTCTCAAGACTGTTCAACTGCCTCCCAGCATACATAAGGGGGATTACCAGTAAACCCCTGGCTGTCTTCAAGAAAGCACTGGACAGGCACCTAAAGTCAGTACCTGACCAGCTGGGCTGTGGTTCATATGCCAGTTTGTGTGTGGCCAGCAGTAACAGCTTGGTTGATCAGACCCTGATCCACCACACGGCATGGTCTCAGACCTAGCCATGGGGGCATTGACCCCCAAAACCCTCTCCAGGTATTCTCTCATTTTGAATATTGTTCAGTGTTGATGGCCCTGTTCAGGAAAGGAGAAATATCAGAAATGGAACAGATAGATCATTTACAGCCTGCTTATAACCAGTAAAGCATTTAAATTACTGGGAATGCCTTAGTCCTAAATATATACTCACTGGAGAGAAAGTGTGATTCATGGTAATATATACAGTAGGACCCCCTTATCTGCAGGGAACATGTTCCAAGGACCTGCCATGGATGCCAAAACCACAGATAGTAGCGAACCCTATGTATAAGTCACTTTTCAGTTACATGCATGCATACCTGTGATAAAATTTAATTGATCGCTAGTGCACTCGGCTCACACACTGAGGTCCGGGGTTCGAATCTCCTCCGGTACAGCTGGAAAACATTAGGGACGTGTTTCCATAAGACACCTACTGTCCCTGTCCCTGTTCACCCATCAGTTTAAAATGGGCACCTGGGTGTTAGTTGGCTGGTGTGGGTCGCATCCTGGGGCAAAACTGACCTAATTTGTCCGAAATTTGGCCAAATTACCAATTTCTGAAAACTTTATTGGGTAGTTGAAATAGTAGTTGATTGGGCAGTTTCTTCTGCTCAGTTGATATATTGGAAGGCATACTAGCGAAATAGCTAAGAATTTGGTCGACTGGAACAATGTAATTGGCCTAAAATAGGACTCAAAGTAGACAAAATTGCCAATGTGTAAATATTGCCAAACACAGCAAAATTTGCAATAGTGTAATTTCGTCAGTTTTCCGTCAATTTTCATACTTTGTTTTATTACTTTCAGAAACATTCTTTACCATTTCATATATTTTTTTTAAAGATTCTTGGATCCTGTGGACAAGTTTCAGATCAAAGGTCTGAACCCTGAAGGGGTTAATAGACAACAAATTAGTTTGAGGCATTAACACTAGAATACTTTGTTCCTTGAGGCACAGTACCCTTTAATTTTCTTCCTTGTTCTAGTATCAAGCATTGATAGATGTTACAGTTGGTGAGGGGCTCTTGATTTAGGGAATGGATCTGTGCTCCAGTTCCCCGAATTAAGCCTGAATGCCTTCCACATCCCCCCCCAGGTGCTGTATAATCCTCCGGGTTTAGTGCTTCCCCCTTGATTATAATAATAATAATGATAGATGTTACAGTGCAGTAACATATACTTTGCAGTGACATCCATTGAGGACACTGCAAATGTTCAAGACTAGAAAACCAAGTCATCCAGCGAGTCACACATAACTTGTATTTAATGAAGACAGATTTCAGCAAGGCTGCTGTGCAAAAGTTCCAGAAATAATTGAATTGGTATAAAACAATTTCACTAGTTAACAAAATGGAATGTAAGTGGCCTAGGAGTAAACTGTCAAAATATCTTCTGGCAGTTAGGTTTTGTAAACCCAACTGCTAAGAAAATGGTAGGGTGGATAACAAGAACATTAATAACAAGAATGCCAAACCAGTGAAAATACTTACTTGATAAGGCACCTGTTCTCTCAAAGCTAGAGTATTGCTCGATACAACCTGGAGTTTACCTGGAGAGAGTTCCGGGGGTCAACGCCCCTGCGGCCCAGTCTGTGACCAGGCCTCCTGGTGGATCAAAGCCTGATCAACCAGGCTGTTACTGTTGGCTGCACGCAAACCAACGTACGAGCCACAGCCCGGCTGGTCATGAACTGACATTAGGTGCTTGTCCAGTGCCAGCTTGAAGACTGCCAGGGGTCTGTTAATAATCCCCCTTATGTATGCTGGGAGGCAGTTGAACAGTCTCGGGCCCCTGACACTTATTGTATGGTCTCTTAACGTGCTAGTGAC